AGAGAGAGAGAGAGAGAGAGAGAGAGAGAGAGAGAGAGAGAGAGAGATAGTAGCGACCCACTATTCAAACACAATGTGGAGAACTGACTGTTCTAAATAATTCTAGCGAAAGCAAAATATGCGTCGAAAGGACCGGAACGTGAATAAAGACGGAAAAAACGACAGGAAAAACAGCATACAGGAGGAGAGCGCAACAAACACAGAAAAAAAAAGCACAAAAAGCGTAGTGAAGCAAAGAAGAGCTTCTTTGAGCTTCTTGTGTGCACGCAGGATATCACAACAATGGCAAATAAAAAAAAACACAACATTGAAATAAACCGAATACAATACAGAACGCACAGTGCCACTGATTTTGTGTAATGGATTGGGTTGGTTTTATTTCCTTTTTTTCGTTCCACAGCTTTCAAATGCGCCACTCTTCGATGGATACACAAGTGAGCGCTGAATAAACCAACTTGTGATTACAGTCAGAACATTAACGACGCAACCGTCATCGTAACGACAACAAACTTTCCACCGATAACCCGACAAAATTTAACATCGCTTCGACCAGTGTTCAGTGCTTCAAATTTTTAACCGTTTATTTCATTCCAGTTTGATGTTTTTGTGCGACGGAGCGGGTATGTTCTTTTTGTTTCGTCAAAATTATCTCAAGTAAAATTGACTGAAAAGATTATTGAGAATCATAGAAAATTTCAACTGCCACTTTTCCAACAATAAAAAAAGGTTGAAATTAGTTATCATTAAAAAGTGTCTATATGAGTGATTGTTCCAGAATATTCCACGACAAAATAAGCTGCTTTTGAGCATGGTGTACATTTGAAACGAAACATAAATTAAAATGCATCCTGTGTGCACCTGCACATCACAAACAATATTAACTGTTTTCATCTCCAGTGAATTCTCATCATTTTCAGTTTGCGTGAACGGAAAATTCAATTAAATTTGCTATTTGATGAAAAACAGTTACTCTCGAACACTTTCACAACACCGGCGAAAGTATGTATGTGCCAATTTGAGAAAAAAAAATGAAAAAAAAAATTAAAACGTAATTAATTTCAACGGCACAGTGATATCGCACAAAGTTTAAATGAGAGAGAGAGAGAAAAAAAAACAGAAACCACCACAAAACCCAATCAAATTAAGTGACATAAAAGCCTGTGCAACAGCCAACCTGTTATGACAGAAATCATTAGAAAATAACTCACGTTTATGGAGTGAAAATCCATCAAGTGGCACACAGAACATCGATACAAATGCGCTACAACAGCATCCAGACACGTGTCAGTTACTTTTGACGAATAATACCGTTTGATTTGTAACATTTATCAAGATTTCAAGGGGATATATTCGTGTGGCGTACTCATACGGAGTGTTGACACATCGGAGAAAGGCAATAACAATTATAACCCACAGCCGTTTTGTTGTTTGTTTGTTTTTATTTTTCATAATTTTCCGCACATGATTTTAATTGCTGAAATGTGTGATTGTCTCAATCTTGTTTAATCCTTTTTTTTTTGCTAATGAGCCACTCGAAACGGAGAGGATTCTTAAGCTCTGTGTGAGTTTACTGTACTTTGTTATGGATAATGTACGTTGAGTTGTTGAATGAGTATGTGTTACAGCACGTTCGATTCAATTCCGTATTAAATCATTGGCATTTTCTCCATTGTTAAATGCGAGCGCTATTTTCTCTTTATTGTTACACACAAGAGCCATTTCATCGAATTAAAACTCAGTTACAGCAAATCAATGGGTCTTCATCTTTCGAGTGCCATACGTTAAATTAAATCCCATTAATGCGAATAATGAAATGAGCTCAGAAAGTACACGCGACCGAGCTATTGGAAGTGGATCAAGAAAAAAAAACTGTTGAATTGGTTTTATTTTCTGAAGAATTTTTTTATAAAACCAACATTTCTGGAAATCCACTTTTCCAATTACAAAACGTATATTCACGAATAGCGGAAATGTGTGTGAAAATCTATTTTGACATTCTGTAATGCATTTTTCATGGGATATTTCTTATTTTTGCAGAGAGAAAAATGAGCATTGTCGATTAATATGCTTGAGTTATTTGTGGTGACGATGTTTTGCGTTGTCGTATGTAATAATATTAATTTCCACTAAACAAGCCATTGCTCAAATGAACTCGTTGTCATATACAAGCCCATTTTGAAGAGTATATGTACTTAAGTTATTAAAAACCCATCTCAAAGCCACTTCAAATGCTTTGAATAGTAGTTTTGAGCTTTGTATTGTTGTCCAAATGAATGAAACCTCATTTGTTGTTGAATAGTCTTCAATTTCAGAATCATATCAATTATTGGCTTTTTTATTCTATCCCAGCCGACATTGGCCTTGCTTTCGCCTAAATATTCAAAAATCTATATTGAATGCTCGAAATATTAGCTGATGGCATTGTTTTATTTGCTTTTAATAAGTCATCCATGTGTAACATAAAGCTAAACAACACTAAGCAGTGTTATTCATTCGCCAAGCCAGGGAACCGATTCCATGTGGTCTTGTTGCTCGGTTTGGTCGAACACACCAACCATCACGCACACAATAGGAAAAAACGAACTTTTCGAAAGATTCTTGACTTGTTGGATGTTCGGTGCTTAGATTTATGGAAAACGGCAGCCCAACGTAATTTTATACTATCACGAAGAATTAATTTAAATCGCTTAGAAGGAATCCCGGCTGCAGGCCTACTACCCTCTGGTAAACTAAGCGTTTCGCATTGTTTTCACAACGTGATATCTTTTCATTTTTTCTTCTTTTTCATTTCATTCGCACACATAATAATCCCAACAACAACCAACAGTATGCGACCACAATAATTTGGACGTGTAATATAAAACCATCGAAAATTGTACGAAAAAAAAGAGTCTCGCGCTACTCGCGATGCTGTGCTATTTCCACTTGAAGTATTTGTATATTCGCACGATGTGTGAAATGGAGAGACAGACAGAGACGCAGAGAGAGAGAGAGAGAGAGATGTATTTCTGCATTATAAATTATTATATATTCATCATCATTCGCTTGTTAAGCACATTGAAAATCGTATTGAGGAGCCTAGGAAAAACATTGAACAGGAAAGAGTGGAGAAATGGTAGAACGAAAATGATGCGAACGAAAGGAATTGGCGTGGAAAGAGAAAAACGAAAAATGGTTAACAATAAAATAATGTCGACGTCAACAGTGACAACGACAACAAACGACTACGGCAACTTTGGACAAGAGCAAGAGAGGAGAGAGAGAGAGAGAAAGATAGAGAGAGAGAGAGAGAGAGCGAGAGAGAAAGCGAGTATTTTTACGGATTCTTGTCAGCTCCTTGGTTCCCTAGTGCAGCACAAGTAATTCACGTATCGAATACAAAGGACACCAATTTATGTATGATATATTAACGTCATCGATGTAGCGCATACAGTCTGCGCTCATTCACTACACAACGGCTTTTGTACTTTTCTATAATTCTATGTCCTTGTCCCATGTATAAAATAAACACATACACATGATGCTGATGCTGATGACAAATAAGTTTATATTGAGTGCAAATAGAATTGACTGACGAGCGAATGAGCTTGAGAGGGAAAGGTGTGTGTGTGAGAGTGAGTGAGTGAGTAGATAAGTGTGTGAGTGAGCAAGAGTGAGAGAAAGAAGGAATGAGAGGAAAATGCTTTATTCGCTGTTGCTGCTCGCGAACAGAACCGAACCGAACTGAACATATGATATTCTGAAAATGTTCCACAAACCAAACGTGAACGTGAAATGTTCATGCAAACGATATGAAATTACTGATATTTTTCCGGTAGATAGAAATGAGTAAAGCAAATTTGATTCACACAACCACAGCAATAATAATCAAGCACTAGCGAGTAAAACATGTATACGCTGAGCTGAAGGCGATTGAACACGCTAACACACGATGCAAACAAATAAAATAGGAAAATGAGACATTTTCCAACGTGTACATGGTGTGGTACATGGTACAGGCATCATGCATGCACGCGCGCACACCCATCCACTCTACAAGGATTTTACGAGAATACAAGCGACAGCAACATCAAACAGCAACAATAACAACAACTTTAGCAGCAGCAGCAGCAGCAACAACAAAACTAGCGCACAATTCAGATTTCGGATCAATATGCAAACCTACCTGTTGCCGATTTTTTCACATCCAGATTGCTACAAATGCTAAGATTGTCACCCGATTCGCGTGGATTATTGAGTGTGAATGTTGTGATGCCATCTCTCAGACTGGCACCACACCTGGTCACATTGACGGGAAATGGTGTGAAATTGGGCATTGGAGGTGGAGGTGGAGGCGGTAAGGTGACTGTCGTGGACGATGATGATGATGATGATGATGATGATGCTGCGCTGCTTGTTGATGATTGCTCTGCACTATCACAATAATTGCCACAGTGCGAACACTTCACCCTCGACACCGCCGCCGCCGCCGTCGTCGTCGCTGCCGATTCATGAGATGATTGTGCCAGTGCGTAACTACTATTTTTGTACAAATTGTTCAATTGTTCTTCAGCTTTTTCCGCTCGACTAATGGCGAATTGAAGCTCTTTTTCCACTATCTCAAGTTTAATGCGTAGCACATTGATTTCGTCGTTATTGTTAGTTTCGATTGTCGTTTCCATTAGTTTATTCTACGGATAAGGTTTAGTTAGTTAAAAAGTAAAATCATTGTTGAATGCAAATTATTTTCGTATTTCAATGATAACACTTCAATATAGAGCCCCCATCGTTCAGTTTGTATGAGGAAGGGAAAAAAGTGCCAAAAGGAAAACTTCTACGGTTAATGATGTTCGCATGCAAGTGAGCAAAACCACAATTGAAGCGTTCAATTCTCTAATTTGGCCGGGACAAAGAGAGAGCGGCCCCATAAATAATTTGTTTTTACAACAGAGACAGTAGGAGATGAGAGCAAGTGCGTTAATTGGATTCTTACCATTTCGACAATGCGCTCGGTGTGAGCCGCCTCTCGTCGTTTCAATTCCTCTTTTAAATGCATCACTTGGTCATTTGTCGAATAGAACTTGGGCGATGTTGGACTATCAATGGCATCTTTGTTTCCACGCACCAGCTCATCGTTCCTCTTTTTCATTTCGATTAACGCCTCTTCCATCCTAGCAATTCAAACATTCAAAATGACATAATTAAATTAACCAGCGCGCGAGAAGAAAAAAGATGCGGAGAACGAAACACAATGGGAATTATCTATTCAACGAAATGAAAAACGGGAGAAAAGAGGATGTCCTGTGGTTTTTCGCCGGCAATTCGTTACGATGTTGAAGCGACAAGCGTGTAAATGTTTCGCGTCGTGCATGAGTGCGCACCGTAGTGGTAGTCTATACATTTTTCTAAATAATTGTTATACTCACTTTTTAGTTGTATCCATACTTTCTTGCATGCTACGTGTCATGAGCTTGGCCACCTTGGTGAGATTCGAATTTTCCACTTTAAGGTTTTCATTTTCTTCTTTCAGGTGTTGATGCTGAAAATGTATATAAAAATAGAAAATCCATTTTTTTTTCTTATGAAATTGTAATACTAATCTGCAAAAAGCGCTCGCTATACACGTAAAAAAGAGTTTTTTTTTCGCTGGAATTTATGAAGTACTCACGTTTTCAATAAGCTCGGCAATTTTCTCATTTGCCTCGTACAACTGGAGCTCGGTATTGTTCATTTGTGTTTTGATTTTTCCGATTTCGTTGATTAGTTGTTCGACGGTCTCAGTTGTAACAATATCACATTTGGATGATTCATCTGGAATACGTACAAAATTTAAATTGTCGCATTGAATTGATTGTGTTTTGGGTTTGTTTTGATTCGATTCGAATGTTATGTCATTCGATGAAGTCGAGCACATCTAATCACATCAAAGAGCTCAATTTGGCACATTAATGTAGATCAGTTATTCAATTTGGGTGGAATCGATTCGAGCCAATTTCGATTCGAATCAATCCGATTGAATCATAAATGGGCGAAATCGATATAACAATTACCTTTTTCCTTTAATCGAATCTCCGGTGCCAATTCTTCGAGACGGTGCTTAGCCTGTTTGCCAGCTTTTAGCAATTCGACATGTTTCTCCTCTTGAACTCGAACTTTTAGCATGAGGCTAAAATGAATCAAAATAACAATGCAATGCACTCATACGAATATCTACCATGCGGTCAGATGATGGTCATCATTTACTTACTCGTTGATGATTTTCTTTTGTTGCTCTTGAATGTTATGTATTGTTTGACCTTCTTCAAATTCTCGTTCAAATTTATTCATCAAACCTTGTAATTGATCCTTCAGCAGTTTTTGTTGCACTTTCAAATCATTGAATTGCTTGCCCACTCGTCCATTTTCTCGCTCCAACTGGATATTTTTCTGTAAAACTATCAACGAAATCATTTTGATTTGTTATGATGACTACAGAAATGGCTATACGATTGTAAATCAAGAATAATTCAAGTGGTTTTTACTGGTATTATGCTTGGTCGATAATTCTTCGATTTTCTCCTTCAGCGCAATATTTTCCTCGAGTAGTGTAAAGAGGTCTAACTCATTGGTTGGGCCATCGATGGTATCGGAAAGCAAATCGTCATTACTTTTGCTCAAACTTTTCTTCATGCTATTCGATTTCGATTTCGGAATCGGTATTCCACTTCGTCGCGCAGGCGAATCCATTTCACTGCTCTCTTTCTCTCTCTCTCTCACTCTCTCTTTTTAAAGATGTTCAATCAAATCATTCAGAACGAGAAGAGAGATAAAATTAAATAAACTGTTGGAAATTTCCAAACTGCGTAGTTGTTTAATTAATTTATATATATATATATTTCGATTGAGAATTGGTGACAGTTTCGAATAAAATATATACTACTCGGTGATACTGTTTTGAGTGGGCCTTTGTTTACGATGCCATGTATGGCAAAACAATCACCGTGGATGAGTATTGTCATTTTTATTGTGAATTCGATACGATTCATTCGATTGATCAATCGAGTGAGTCACAATCAATTGAATACTCAAGTCTTGGCAGATATGCCGAAGTGATTTCGGGAAGAGCGTTTTTAACTGGATGTGAATTTGGGCGCCGGATGGTTTTAAAAATAAAGAAATAATAAAATTATTTCCCAGGTGTTCAAATAAATAATTTCATCTGTTTGCAAACGTAATATTTGCATCAAGTACGACATGTGTGTCCATCTCATAACTGCATGACGTAACCGAATTAAGCGTGGACGACAATATTCTGGTCAAATGATTTAACCATGGCCTACAAATACACGATATTCTAGCCTACACTGTTGACACAATGTTACGCATCATTTGAGACTGAAAAAGCAAAATGACTGAATTTATGTAGCTCGATCGATAAATGTTGAGACATTAGCATACACAATATAATATATTTATCATAACTCATTTCTTCATCCATATTATCAATTAACGTTGGAATTAATGAGTTAATCATCAATTTTATTGATGGGATTCCAAACTTATCTGTGCAAAAAAATAGAAAATTGGGCGCGTCTGCGTTTTTAGGGCGAATTCTTTTTTAAGTTACATTGACGAAAAAAAACGCGATAACTGTTTTTAAGAATTAACATTTGACTATATTACGAAAAAATGCAAATACTTTCGAGATTTGGGTCATATTCGTTTCTATGCAAATCAAATGCTATAAAAATAAATGTGATTAAGTACGTTGTTGGAGAATCTGACAGAGAAAAATGTACAAATGCTTTTTGGAATATACCAACACACGGTGAACAAAGCACAGTCTCCAGTTTCATAATTCGAAACGATCCAACCATTTAGAATGGAATGGAATATTCTTGATTCTTGGAACAGGCTTAAACTGAATTAAAAGAGCCGGAGAAAGGCCAAGCCTATATCATATTCTTTTGACCGATTTGAAAGCAATAGAAATATGTAATACCGAAAAATGTGTTGATCTCTTAAACTAAACCGATCGAATGCTCTGTTGTTTGTAACAATCGCCTTAACCATTGACTCAGATTTCTTGTGTTGGTCTACCGATCGTTATAAATACCTATATGCATCAATATGGGCAACAACAACACCACACAAATCAGCAGGAAAATGGGCAAAGGTGCTGAATATGTATGTTTTTCCCCCATTGAGTCGGTGCAAAACATTGAGAGGCATTGACAAATGCTGTAAACTGTTTGTATTCGAAATTTTAATTGGTATGTCAATTGAAGCCAATAGATTTCCCGTTATAAATTCCAGTCGATCATCACTATATCTCTGTTAACATAATTCTTCATTCGATTCAATTTATCACTGATATATGTATGCATGTCTTTGTTTATAAACTCCTATATTGAGTCTAACTGAGAAAAAAAACACCGATTGCTCGTTGTTCTGTTTGCACAGCAAAATCATTGATACTTTCACTGATCGCCGTATCGATTTCATCACTAACGATCCATTGAAATTCACATTGGTGCGCGAGTCTATCAAAGTCGATGTCTTGAAAGAGTGTGTACTTTGTTTGTTTGTTCAGTGAATCATTCATGTATGGTGTGAGAGTGAGGGAGTGAACGAGAGGAAAAAAAAATCAGCGTCTAATGGGTTTTTTGTGCTCGTTTTTTTTGGCGGTTTACATTGATTCGAACGTGTTTGATAATTTCAAGTATCAATCATACCGTAGATTTCAATTGATTTCGAATTGAATGGAAAGCAAGGTGATGTGCGTCTTTCTTTCCGGAAGCATTAAATCACATCGGGAGGTAAATAACACTTTATCTAAATTAGTACAAAGCACATAAAACGCACATAAGACGTTCGACTGTCCATTTCAACCATACAATTGCTACCGCTGCTGCTGCTGCTGTTGATGTTGTGCGTTTTTCTTTTTCAATTCAACCCAGTGTTTGCTATTTTCTGTGCACACTTTTTCTTCTTCTATTTTTTTTTTCTTAAAATTTCAAACGTACAATTGTATTCCAAATGGAGAGAGAGAATTGTTTTAGCAAAGCAGCGCTTCTTGTTCACTGTACAATTGTGTGTCGAAAGAGTACCGCTGTGAATAATCCAAGTTTGGATTTAGATAAGCGAACACGTTCACCTGTATGAAACACTGAACTCAACAGAGGAATTAGAGTCACGTAAATGCGCAAAATGACTAGAGTCGAGAGAATGCAGAAGGCGAACACGGTATGGCAAGCATAGTTTAAATGCTTTCGCACATTGACATTGTGAGTGTGAACTGAATATGAAATTAAAACAGATGGCTAATAATCAATGGTGTATGTAAGAAAAGCAGATATACGAATTCTTCAATGCATTTGCAATAAATCTATAGTAAAATTCGTCAGTGAAGCGACACGCATTGCAATTCATGACAACCGCCTTCGTTTGCACAAAATAATGATTAGCTTTGCATTGGGAATGATTCTTGTGAGGGATAATTGATTAAATTACGGTCATTACGCTCGCTTCCTCGTTCATTCACCGAGAATCGCAGATATGCCAAGGCGCCAACAGAAAACAAAAGTCATCGTATATTTAAATCACTTTAATTATTCATTAGAAGGAAATAGCGATTTTGCGATTCCGCAATAAATGCACCAATTAAAACGGATCTCTCACGCATGCAATCGAAATGCAGTTTTGGAACACATATACAAATTGGCTCGTTTTCGAACCACTTACCTTTGACGGTTAATTTTTGACACTTTTAAATATGAAATGGTTGTCACAAAACCAACACTCGCTCAAAGTTTTTTTTTTTTGTCTTTCAAATAAATGAGACGAATAACAAAGGCTCACACAATTTACTTTTCGTCGCAAAATCATATAGTGTATCAGTAAGTCAAACAAAGCACACACATTTTGAAAACAAAGAATAAGCTCGAAAATGCATCGAAATTTGTTCGAAACCGACGATATGCCACAACGAAAATGAAACAAGTAGAAACAGAAAAAAAAACGACAGCGAATAAACAAATCGTCGTCAGCGCGAAGCCGATTGTGGTTCGACCGAAAGCAAACTTCGTAATTTACTGTGGAGATGCTTCAGCAATGTGCTTTCAAATCTACAGAAACCATTCGATCAGCAGAGAGCAAGAACACAAGAGAAATACAACAACAACGACAAAAAAAAAATAACGACAACAACAACAGCAACAAAAAGCAGCAACATACAAAAATAAATAACGAAGAATGAAGCGACAGCAAACTAACCGTTGAGTGTATTGTGTAACTGTGTGTGGTGAGACGAAGAATGTAGAGAAAAGAGAGAAAAATACTTGAATTCATTTTTATTTTTCTGATTCGTTCACCGATTTGAATGGGCTCTCTTCTCGGAGCTGAGAGCTACGAGCTGAGCAAAGCATAACACAAACAAATGCACCAGGCCAATACCAATACAACCGAGAATGCCATGTATTACACTTGCTGGGCTCACTTTGGAATTATGTGTCATATTGTTGAGGTTTAGTGCACCGTTCGCCGCCGTTCACAAACGCCGATTACAATTCTTAACTTTGGTTTGGTTTGTGCAAATATTGATAAATAGAAATGAGTATGAGCGAGCGAGCGTCTCTTTGTGCACAGTGTATCGTATAGTATATATATACAGAGTATAGAGTTCAGAGAGTTACTCATCGGGCCACTTTATGTGTGGTTGCATAAGGTAAAAATGATAACGTTTGCTTATTCATCGAAATTTCCCATGTAGGACGCTGTTTTCGCTACTTTCCAAAGAAGACATTCGATCGGCGATCTCGAAATGATCTATGCGAATCGAAATTTTCTCTATATATATATATAGATATTGTATTTTTTTTTCGTATGAGATTGCAATCCTTCCCACCAAAAATAAATGAAATGAAACGCGATAAAAAAATGGTCTGTTGGTCAATCGAATATTCGACTTTGCTCGTAAACATTGCTATCACAAATACGAATGTTCCTATCCGCTTTCTGATGTTCTACATTTGACTTCGTCGACGTAATCTTGTACTGAAGATAAAATAACCGCGCTCTTATTATTACAAACGAAATAACGCAAACAATAGCAGCCAGCGACAGGCAACAAAGCGGTTATTGCATGTGTATGCGTGTAGAACAATTCATGAGCCGTGTCTAAGCCGTTTATATGCGCATTTATTCGGTTAATCGTTCAGTTGATACATTGAATACGATTTAAAAAGATTTAGTTAACCGAAAAAATACCAAAACCAATTCGTGTATCATTTTCTTTCCGCTTCGATGCCCTTTCTATTTCATTTCGAAAATATATATGTGTGTATGATGATATCGATGTTCATTTTTTTTTGTTCATTTTCGAAGAACGAACAAGAATAGAAAAAGAATCTTACGTTTATGATTTTATCGCATATTTCCTCTAAGTGGACTATTTACTATGTATACCTTGAAAAGTAGGAAGCCACTATCGAAAATCTCTCACATACGTGAAGAGAAGAAGAAGAAGAAGAAACCATGCAATGGTATAAACATTTTAATGGGAGGGAATTGTTAGTCGAATCCAAGCAAAACGAATTTGAATTGTGTTGATGCTAGAATTGAAAATTCTATGAATTCTCTCTCTAGCTTCGTTCCATTCAACGGAAATTTCTATGGCAAACTTGTTACAATTCTATTCTAATTAAGTGAATGCAACGCGCAACACATTCTATGTTGTCATTAAAATCGAAGCGTGTGGGTAATGCACGATATGCTTTGAGCCAGCATTAAATTTAATTGAATGTCAAACAAAAATTAGAACGTTAATGGTGAATGTTAATATGGTATCCCAACACACAAACATATGAACCAAACGAATTAGTACCGCGTGAAAGAGAAACGTTTTCTATGTTGGGCGCAGCAACAGCAACAGCAGCATGATTGTTATTTTTTTTGTTTTTGTTTTTGTTTTCGTCGATTGCTGAATAAACTGGCACATTTTTTGATCTCTCGCCAATGACTAAACCTGTCCGTGCGCATATAACGCATTTTGCTTTTAGCACATATCTTCCAAGTTCTTATATTGATTCCGCATTGGCAGCATCACCAATGTATCACACATGACGGACATTGTCCCAGTTTCCGTAAAAGAGAAAGAAGGGCATCTCGGTCATAACGATGTGAGCGCTGATATACACTGTGTGCGCATTTCAGAAGAGAAACCAAAATAGTATATATTCAAACACCATCGGTATTTGTACGAAATTCGATTTGGTGAAACTGGTTCCGTGCAAAGTAAAATCACAAACCCAAATCAGGCTGAACAAGCAAAGAGACCGACTTAAGGCAAATTCTTTTGCCCCTCTATATATATATATATATATATATATCTGCGATGTGAAACAAGTTTTCAGCTGCAGTTCCATTCGTACACCCTACAATCCGAATGGATACAAAACAAACATAAGAAATGCTGTCATGTGTGCGCCACTTCCCACATTCATTTCCAAAAACAAAACTACAACTATCGTTAATTAAAATTGCGGCATTGTAGTCATTTCAGCTCGCATTTTCAAAACACCGATGACATTCGAAGCTAATGTATTTTAACCGCCCACACAAAATTCAGCCGAGTCTCTTGTGCAACTGATCCGTTTGACAAAATATGAATGTTTATAAACAAGTAGCAAATTGTGTCACCTTTGTTGCCAAAAAAAAATGTGAAGAAACCATATTTACATGTGATTCAATCCATTCTGTCTGGTACACAAAAATTGTTCTTCATTCGATTTCGGAACGCATGGCTTCTTGTTTATTCTACTGATTCTATTTGCTTCGTATAAACAAAATATATTCGGTTAAAATAGAAAAACACTTGGCGGTTAAAAAATACACATAAAGATTTCCAATTTCATAGCATAATCAAAACAACAAGAGCTTTGCCACTAAAGTTTCGTTAGAATGACAAAAAGTTGGAAAGCTCAAACGAAATCACGCAAAGCATTGGAAGCTCAAACATTTCCAAACAATGTGTTTATATTGGTTTCAACAGATGGCGTTGCCATTGCGAATCATATTGAAAATGTTTTTCAATTCGATTGTAAACATTGAAGTCTTCATGATTCAAATGAAAGAAAAATTTAACCCATTGAATAGTTGAGTGCGATCAAGATACGATTTAAAAGATAACGCGACTCATCATGAATAATACAATTACTTTAGTATTATAACATCCATGGATAGATTTGTATGCCTTCGTTTCAAAACCCTAATTGGCAATTTAAATTTAAAATGCGAGTGCGGCGAATATCAGTTTGTCACTGATTCTTGAAAAAAAGTGACATTTTACGGTTAATGAATGCGACTTTTATGAATAGACACAACACACACACACAAAAATTGTGCAGCAATTAGCTTCTGGTTTTTCTCTTCCTTTTCCGCATTTCTAGTGCCTGCAACTAGCACGGAGAAATTCAGATGAAAACCGAGAAAAAAAAACCAACGCAATGATATCATAATAAAAGCTAGAAAGTGAATAGCCGGCCGGTTATTTTACGTTTTCTCTGTTTTTTTTCTTTGTGCTAGTGGTTTTCCAGATAGTGAAGTCAGAGTACGCTTTGGCTGCTAGATATTCCATTTTTGACGTACGAACGAGAGCGAAAGAGAGCCGTATGTGCGATGTGTATGTATATAAGCAATGCAAAGTAACTAAGGTTCGCCACGTATGAACATTTCAGCGGTGTTTTGGCACAATTTTAAATAAATTGGTGGGAGAATTGTGCTGTTAAGTAGGCCATTAATATACGATTGTGTGGGTATGCATGTGTATGTGCTTGTTTTGTAAGTTTCTAGCATGCGAACGAGTTAAAGAACGCAACAATACATAAAACTAAAATCCTAAGGTCAATCAATTGGCCAAACATAGAATCATCAGGTAGAATTGCTTGGTGGACGTGTCACCATTTATTTTTGTTTGGGAAAAATGATGAAAGAAATAAACGAAACGAAAGACGTTATCACAACATTAGCATAATACAACGATCATTGTCTTTCTCCCTTTACCACCGTTTCTCATTCTATCTCGTTTCTTTGGTGAACGTACTTCGCATCGTACATCCAATTCAGCGAAAGCAAAGCGCAACAAATACATATCCGATGAAGAGAGATTGTATTCATACATGTATGCTATAATCACTTTAGATCATTTAATAAATACGAATTTAATACTTATTATTTACAATTTTAATTCTTAACATAAGCGCACACGCACACACATCAACTCAAGCACAAGAGCGAGTGCTAGATGCTTTTTATTTCGTCTTCAACCGTTCATTTGAATTTCAGTTGATTTTGACACGGATGTTGAATGCGTCCGAATCGAAACTGTTGATTTCAATTTTTGTGTTGATTTATATTCGTTTATTTTTTTTTTCGTTTACCTGTGGGATAAAAGAGAAGGGTTTCCAGCTCAATCTTGATAATACGCTCAATCATTTCTAATTGAATTTTCAGCCTTAAGGTATATCTATATTTTTCGTTGATTGTTTTTTTGTTCATATTTTCATTTTCATTTATCGATTGAATTCTACGACAATTTTGTCTGTGTTTTGCTTGGAAAGTGTTGAAGTGAAAGAGAGTTTCAAACTAAAATCAATGTGATTTGTGCTGGTTGGACTGTTTGTCGGAGGGGCATCCGAGTAATGTTGGTGGCTCGGTGCTGATTCGAATCGATTCGGCTCTGTGCAATAATTGCCGCCCACAATATCAATGGAGCATGCGCTTATCTTGCTTTCTTGGTTTCAATGGAGACCATATTTAAAAACGTCGTTTCGATTCTACCAAATAGCCATACAATAAAATGCCGTTTTTATGACATTTGCAAAAAGAGAAAAAAAAAATGAAAATTGCACCTTTTCCTTATTTTTCGCACAAATTTTTATTCATGTTGTTCGTCGAAAGAATTATTTTCCCTGTTTTAATATTTGCTCGAAGACACGGAATCGCTTTTGTGTCATCTTAAATTCCGCTGGAGAGAAGCGTTAAAAATATCACCGGACAAAACACGAATTGAAGCCAAAATACGTAAACAAACAAAAAATCATGTTTTCCCATGGATTGAATAGATGAATAAAGTGCCGGCCATTTGATTCGTTTCTTTTTCTTTTTCTCTTCTCTTTTAATTTGGTTTTTCTACTTTTTATCAAACAAAGAGAGCAATTAATACACAAAATAAATTTTTTTAAGCAACATAGAAATGAGAAATCATTGCATTATAGTCTCGAACAAAAAAGTTTGGTATGAATGTGAAAAATCACTACCGCGCGTCATACACATTGTGCTGACATTATCGCATGTTGCCAAAGCGCGCGCCTCTCTCTTTCTCTTCTATTCATCAAAATGCCTCTGCCTTCTCTATGCCATCGTGTATACACGATGCTCGACGTCCATATCAACACACCGCCGCACTCCAATTCACCGAATGAGACGAAGAAGGAAAAAAAAAATGTGTGTGTGCAGAGCGAAACCGTGTGTTTGTATGGAACACCAGTCCTAGGTCACATTCCCTGGCGCACGTACAGAAAATTTTTGTGATTCTATTGAGTCCAATATTTCGCATTTAAAATTCGTACAAATTGCTCTGTGTTCTCCAAGTTCAAAATTTAATCAAAACTTCATTATTTTTATGGTTTTTTTTTCTGTTAATTTCTGGATTAAAAAGTATCGTCCACAACCAAAACAAAACATAAATCCAACAATCATAACAACTGTAACCACATTTAAAAAGAAAATACTACAAAAAAAAAAATGATTGAAAACTAAACCAAAAAAAAAAGAAACAGCAACAACCGAAAAGTTGTTTTTAAAAAAATGTTGTGCTTTGACAATAATTTTATAAAATTTATGTGATAAAATTTGTTGTTTGTTGTTATTTATATCAATAGTATTGCGCTGATGTTAAACGAATGATGCATTGAAATGAGGCGATGTAACATGTTATGAATTAGTAAAAAGTGAAAGTGAAGTTGAATCGTACGGAAGTTTCTCTTCGCTTTTTGTTATTGTTTCGTAAATTTTCATTTTAAAAATTTATTTTTATCTTCATGGTTTCAAATGTTCCGTTCCATATTTTCTTTTCGCTGACATTAAAGTCGACCATTTGAGCTGATCCACTGCGTTGCACAACGTGCAATCAATTCCAGTGTACAAAGGCAAATCAAGAATATATGCACCATACTCATTGAATGAAAAAAATCAAAAATTCTATTGAAGATAAACGAAATAAAAATCTGTGATAACCGATGTGAACAAATAAATACCCAAACAAACAGACACCAAACAATAGAATATCAATAGCCGTTACACAGTGTGATTTTAGTGCGTTCATCTTTTGTTTTGTTTGACTTCTCTCTTTTTTTATTTTATTATTTGATTTTTTTTTTTAAACACACACAAAACTCCTGATTTTTATTCTTTAAAAAAATATACGAAACTACGCAAAAAAAAAATTGAATGTCAGCCATTTTTAAAAGCGAGCACGATCAACGAAATGCGAGCAACATCAGTAGCATTCCAGCAAAGAATTGCGAACGTCAGGGAACTATACATAATTGGGCTCATTTTTGCCACAATTTGTATATCACACGGTAAGTAAAATGAATGGTTGCTATTACACTCAATGAATGTTTATCCAGATAATTATTTACAAAATCCGCTGCGGTGAAATCAAACTGAATTTCCGTTGTGACCAACAAACAAAGTGTGATGAGAAAATTTCAGATGATTTTGCTTCCGCATGGCAAATGTTTAGATGAGAGTCAATCGTTCTTATCGTCTTATTTGAGAGCTTTTCGCCAGTTATCTATTTTTTATACATGGAACATTCGACAAATGTTCTATCTAACCACTTATCAATGGTAATCCATTGTTACCAAAACGAGGTCTATTTTCTTAGTTTATACTTCGCAGTTGGTATTGAACTCCGTTAAAAGCGTTGGCAATGTCATATTGTCAAACGTTTTAATTTCTTCACTAACTACGAATACGGTTACTTGAGATCGAATTTTGAAAAGAATGGTAAAATATCGGTCATGATAGTGCACAGATAAAAATCGCAATCCACTGATAGAAATCACTGTTGTTTGGCATTGAAAAAGATGATTCAAACCAAAAGTATCGTTTTTGTTTACATTAAATACTTATCATGCATTGAAACATCATTGCAGGAAAAATATTCATGTAAACATAACACTTCAACAACGTTTTCTTTCGAAATACATTTAGCAATGGTCACTTGTGACTAGGCAATATCAAACATTGATTAAACTTCATTTGAAAAAAGAAAAAAAATTGGAGAAATATCGTTTAATCAAGGGATTAAGCGTCGAAACGTAATTTTGGGTTGAAAAGTGAAAAACGAATGGTTGCCATGGATTTAAATCGGTTTTCATAAAATTTGAGGAAAAGAAAAAATCTCACCATCACACCTCACGTAATCGCATGCATCTAATAGTGCTGCTGTGTACGTTTTCTTTTTAAAGTCACGATGTGACTGGATTTTCGTTAAGAAATCTCAAAATCTATTATCACTTCATCACATTAGAATTGTAGACAAATAGACAAATACAATAGCAACTGTCGAAGAAAAAGATAACAGCTAAACGAAAGCATTTTCCCACGTCTTTTTTGCACCGTATTTAATATTGAGTATTATTTCCGCCTACGAAGCGTCAATATTATCGTGTCTCGTATATCTATCGTACGAAGCGTACCAAGGAGAGAGAGCGTTTGTGTGTGTGTGTGTATGCGTGTGTGGATGTATATGCACACAACTACTCTAGCAACTACTCATCAAATCGCAAGCAATCTAAACTCTCAGTTTAATTTCAATACGAATGATGCACAGATCCCCCTTTCTCTCACACATCCAGATTGGGTGCTCTTTCTCTCTCTCTCTCTATCGCTCCCTTTTTTATTCTCAAGCGGTGGTAAGGATATTTAAATTCTTGTTTTCGTACACATGATAATCCGACCGGTGCACAAATATTTGCTTAATAACTTGTTCAACAACGTTTCAGCATTTAATACAGATATTAAGAGACAGAGCGCGAGGGAGAGAGAGAGAGAAATAGAGTACTAACACCAAAATCAAATCCGTCAAATACTTACAACGGATGCAATATTAGTCGTCTAAACGTTACACCAAACGTTCTATCGATGCGATTCGTGTTTTAAGTGGAAATCACCATAGCGATGATAATGCTGAGATTGTGACTGCATGCACAAGATCTCGACTAGATTAATTCTTCAGTATGGTTTTTTCTTCTGTGCTTCATTTCGAGCCTTGATTCGTCACATTAAATAAACAAGGGATGATTCTGTGAGCAGAATAAGCAACAGCAAACGCATTTATAATTATAAATTGTCTCCACTTTTTTTTCGATTTGGCTGTTCGCCCATTTCACGCATCCGTGTCTCATGGATTTGTTTGCAAAACGAAAAAGAACGAAAACGCGCCTAGAGGCGCATATGCATCACATAATATATGGTGAGTGTTCGACAAATAGAAGGACTGCAATGAAGGCGTAACGAAGAGCAGAAAAAAACACTATTGCAAAGTTTATTGTATATTTTTTGTCGATGACAGCAATTGCCACGTGTGATTTGTGCATTTTGTTTGTTTTGTACACCAAATGCTCTGAATATCAATTAGAACAACGAGCATGTAAAACGAGTGATTTTTTTGTGCCGTTGTTGGTGTTGTTGTTGTTGCTCTCAACTTTACTTTACTTCCGCGCTTGTCAATATTCTGTTATCGAGCGAATGTTTTATCCACTTTTCACCAAAAGGATATCAACGGCATCACAGTTGATTTCATGCTGTGTTCATGTCTCAATTTGAAAACGCGTTACCTCCCAATGATGCTTCGCTCAATGAATACTTAAACGTTTGCATTTAACTGTGAATAGAGGGAAAAAAATAAGATGAAAAAAGAGGAATAAATAAAAATGAAAAGCACGTGAAGAGCAAAACACTTGGGCGAATCAAATTGCAGCCTTGATGGAAGGACCCAAAGCAAATAACAATTTGCCATTGGATTCTTTTCACCTTTTTTCGACGGTTAGTATCGTTACAAAAATGAATCGACTTTGTTCTTCTTGTATGCTTCTAAATTGCCGTTCATTCTTAAGATCTCAATTCACGAGCACTAAACGTTTCATCCTAGTAATATCGCGATTTTATTGTTGAAATCAGCTTCGGATTCGCATTCACATTTTTAAGGAATGTGCCTAGGATTCGGTGAGATCGATTCGCCAAGAAATACTTTGTGCAGTACCTACTTGAAAAGTGCCTACGCAATCGGAAAGTCTGGTGTTGAATTGCTTATGCACACTTGTTTGCATTGGGTTGAATGGGACAACATCAAATGTTGAAGACCTTCTCAAATATCGAAGAAAACAAATCGAACTGGTTGAATAGGACTCAAGGCAAAGCAACTGAAACAAACATGAAATGAATTGACGATCGATTTATACGGCCATTTATTTTCGAGTATGCCTTTATAACACTCCAAAGCTAACCGTTTTGAAATCGGTCAATTGCTTCGTCCAATTCATCACATCAAGAGATAATCCATTGTCCGTGCACCATATCTCTTTGGATTCTCTTCGATAATTTTAATGAAAATATTGCACATTGCCAACCTTTACCAACCAGACAAATCGGCCGGTGAACCTGGCTGGTAGAAAAAAAATTCTTTATTTATATCCAACTTTTCGATTGAAACCAACTTAACATCTGGGTTAATGTTTGGAGCTATAAATAGAAAATCAATTCAATTATGCGATATGATTAATTAGGTGAACTTGTCATTGCTGATCTTGCCTCTAACGTGATATTGAATTTAATACAATAACATATGACAATGTGAAAAAAATATCAATCAATCACACTGCTAAATTGCCAATGAGGTTGGCACATATTCGATTGAGGTGGCTTGAATACGTCAACGTTTGACATCGATTTTAATAATAATGGGCTGGCAAAAAAAGTCACGAATCAAATGTAATATTCACGAATCGCGCTTGATGTCTTACGTATTTATAAAGGTTGTTTTTCTCGCTGGGTGTTAAAACAAGTTTGATCATAGATATATGAAATATTGTGAATATGTGTCGAATTGTTCAAACAATGTTTCTTCAACTCATTCCAATGTTGTTTATATCTAACGTGCTTCCCCAGTAATGTGCGATGATAAATCTTTCTTGTTTGTTCCAATTTGAAACGGTGAGAAAAAAAAATATCGGTACAATCACTTTCAGCTCAATTGAAACACAATTTTTGAAGGTATCGAACGGTCGACAGACCGTCTGCTGTCTACCGCTCTTATGCTCTCCGTTACTAAGGCAGCGATTGTAATACTCTAATCGTTTTAATTATGCACCATACACTGAACATAAATAGCTACGTGCGCGTACTAATTGTTCTCAACCTTCGGTCGCAATAATATGACACGCATCATACGTCTGAAAGAAACAAAAACAAATGATCAAATACATCTTTTTTTTTTTCATTTGAGAAATTCATTCAATAAAGGAAGGCCACTTGAAATTCAATGAAACGGCGAAGAAAAAAGGCCTGAGTTTCGATTGAAATAATATCGAGTGAGATGTAATCGGTGAAATGTGTAACTATCGTGCAATTGCAAACGAACCATTCATCAGAGTATCTTTTTTTTTCGGATATTTCGGATGCATGAATGTTACCTTGGAAACAATTTATTTCTTTCCCTTTTTGCTTCTCGCTCCTCCGTTCCCGTTATTTGTCTACATTTTCAATTGAATATCTTTTGCTAGGTTCACCGATACGTCGAGGTGTGTTAGACACAAGAAATTGTGGCAGCAGCCGTTGTCTTGGTGTTTGTTTGTCTGTCTGCCTACCTACCAGCTTGTTACTCTCGCTGTGTGTCGTACTTGTACGTTTATGATGCTCTCTATCTATTTGACGCGGGCGCGCGCGCGCGAGTATTTCAAGCGAAAGTATATGCGAAATGCAGATAAATAGAAACAAATCCCTTTATCCTCTTATAAAAATGCGAAAGAGAAAAAAAACCGTATCCCCTATTAAAAAGGGATAAACGCATTCATGCCAATGCAGGATAACAAATATGTATTCGGGCTGTGAAATAATAACAATCATGTGCATTGTTATTTTGTTCGGGTTTGGTTTTCAATTTTACGAGTAAAAATGATGAGAAATATCAATTGTATTCAGCATTCGAACGCATGGGATTCGGTATCGTTCGAATAACGTTAGCAATTTGGATGTGCCCTCCAGGTATTTCCACTTCAATATCATTA